GTTGTTTGATATGAGGCAAAAAAGTAAGCTTCTTTCCAAATATCGACCCAAGAAATTTTGTGTTCTCAACAATAGGTATGACAGTTGTTACATATGGCTTTATTGGAAATATTAATCCATATACAATGTTCAACTTTAAGTGGACTTAAACAAGGAGTAAAAAGGAACAAAATTACAATAACAAGCAAAGAAAACACATGACAAACACATATTAATACAAAAAGAACACATAGAAAAAAATTAAAGTAAGAAAAAAATATATATATATATATACAGTGAAGAATGAGGAGTAGTCTTTACAGAGAGTTCATGTGATCTCTGGCATCCCAGTAAATTTTACACAAATCACCCCGCTCTTGGGATTGTTTGTCCAGTAAAGGGCATACAAGAAAGTGGTCTGAGTTCATGGTTCCCGATTGGCACTCGCTAGATGGAAGGATACCTATTCTGTTGAGGTGCTCTGCCAAGCAGCCATGGCCTGTTGAGAGTCTGAAGTTTGCCACAGCCTTCTTACGAGGACTGTGACAAAATTTCTTCCAACTGTTTTGGATGTTAGCATTGTTAGCCCAGGGTTTTCCAGTGGATTTTACAGCTTTGTTGAGCTTTAGGTTGGTCTTAAGTTTCTCGGAAAATTGTTTTTTAAGGGAATCTGGTGGCATCGGTTTATTACATAGTGGTTCGAGTGTCCCTTTCTTGGCCAGTTGGTCTGCCTTTTCATTGCCATTGATTCCTACATGCGAAGGGATCCACTGGAACATAATAATTTTGTTGGCATTCTCGAGAAAAATCAAATTATCTCTAATATCTGAAATAGTCTGAGTATTTGAATCATGGTTTATGGCAACTGCCTGGATAGCTGCCTTAGAGTCGACAAGGATTACTGCTTTAGTGAAGTAATTGATCTTATTCTTAAGGTTTTCCAGGGCTATCGATATAGCGGAGATCTCTGCATCAAAATTTGACATATTGTATCCCACAGGGGCGCTGTGAGAAAAGAGCTTACTGTGTACTCCTGCTCCGGTGCTGTCTTGAATTTTTGAGCCGTCAGTGTACACTCTCGTCCATTCTGGTTCAGGGTATTGCTCTTGTAGCATGCATAATGCATTTGTTTTTAGTACTGTATCAGGTATGTTTTTCTTACCCAAATCATTGATATCTAGTTGGTGCCTGACATCTATAAATTTGAGAGGGTTTGTGATGTTCTTGTTACAGATAATTGAGGGGCCTCCCTGGCCGAGCGGTATCGCCGGTCCAAACGCTCTGTTAAGCGTGGAGGTAGCGGGTTCGAATCCCGCCGTAACCCTGGATGTATTCTTTGTGATGTCTTTCTCTGAATTGTTCTATCTGTATTTTCTACTTGACAATGACTTATAAGCCTATATTGAGCACACAAGTCAGCAAATGTATGTAATTTCAATAAACAGATAATTGGCTCATCTTCTTGGAAATCATGCAGTAATTTTTCACATACCTCTAGAGGAGAGATTTGGGTCTTCATGGAACTTGGTATTGATTCATTCATCCATTGCGCTCTATGGGAGGCTTTCATTTTAACATAAGTGCCAACTGCTTGTATTTTAATTTCAGTGGTAATTGGTGGATTAGAAGTATAGTATTGTAGGGCTATAATTGGGGTTGTCTTCACTGCTCCCGTAATGATTCGGAGAGCATTGTTTTGGGTTCTTTCCAAAGGGTCGAGCTTACCTTGTGCACTAGAAATTAACACCTCACTTCCGTATTTGATAATTGGTTTGATATAGGTGTTGTAGGTCTTATTTAGAGTGTGTTGTGAGCTTCCCCATTTGGCACCGGCTAGTCTTTTCAGAATTGAGGTTCTCTTTTCTACTTTGTCTATAACAGTACTGATATGATTGGTAAAGCTTAACTTGTTATCCAGTACTACACCTAGATATGTGGTAAGGTTGCTTTTTTGAAGCTTACTATCATCTATTATCAAATCAAAATCTGGATTAACACGCCTTAGAGAGTAGAATTGGTAAACGGTTTTATTTTTGTTGATAATCATGTTATTCTCTTTGGACCAAGACTGCAAGACCTCGAGAGCTTTATTCATAACACCTTCAAGATTATTCCTTTGATCTTCATATGCTTGGGAGTTTTCTGCTTCCGTCCAAATGACAACATCATCTGCGAACATACAAACGTTAATACCATCTAAACTTGTTAGTTTGTCTACCAAATCGTTGATGTAGATGTTAAATAGGGTACAGCTGCTTACTGCTCCTTGTGGTAGACCGACTTTGCTCTGTTTGTAGGTAGATTCCTGTTCGTTCCTTCCTGTTTTTGCCCATCTTTGGGATAAGAACCTTCTGTACCATTTAAACATTTGTTTTCAAATTCCACAAGTTTGAAGTTTGGTTAGAAGTTTGCTTCTCCAATGTGAATGGGAGGTTCATTATGAAGCCTGCGCAACCGACAGAAATGCATGCATGAACTTTTAGAGAGGAAAATTGTCTGGCCACTCCACTATTTTATTTACACTCAGTTGAAGTTGCCGCTCAATTACTCTCGTGTCTGTGAGCATGATACGTTTAAATCGTCATCATAAAGTGAGCCATGAACTGCAGATGGTAGAATGTTTAAGATGAGAGAAATGTGAACAATGAAAAGTAGAACACCTTCAGATTGGATGAAAACAACAGAAAACGGATTGCACACTTAGAGCCGGAAATATCTGCGATTCAAAGAGTTTTTGATAAAAATCGGTAGATGACCACGGAGGCCCATGTCGAACAGTAACCTATAGGGCCACATTGTGTACCCCCTAATAAGCCTATAATTATTTCTTCTGGTTGAGTACACTAGTACCCGGTAATATAATAAGTGATCCAATATGAATATTATGGGTCAATATTAAGGAGAGATATAGGGCCGTGATGTAATACAGAATATTGACATCGAATTTCCTAATTTTAACGCTAATAAACGCACTATTATATAAATACATATAAACCGCTTTACGCTTCAACCACGAACATTTAGTCTCAAGAACCTTCTTCCGGTTTTTTAACGGAACCCATTTTGGGCCTCCTATGTTGTCTATAAAAATTTTCTTTGATACGATGGTTATTAAACTATAATTTCTGGATGAGTTTGAAAATTATAAGTTTGTATTACGATGTGATTCATATGCGTAGCATTGAAGCCGAAATTTATCAGTTTCTTAGATATTTTTCTCTCCTTCCTAAAGAAAAATAATAATTTTTATATATAGAACACATTATTCAGGTAAAAATGTTGAAAAAGATATAAAATAATTTAATAAATAATTATCCTTTAACCGGTATCGAACCCCGAGCTTTAAGTCTACAAATTTCTTTTAAACCTATCCCATGGAGCTGCTGCCACAAATATTTAGATAGTAAAGACATTTGTACACCTAGAGGTCCGGTGTTCGATACTGGGTAAGGGTTCATATTAATTTTTTTTAAAAATTTATTTTTTACATCTTTTTCAATATTTTAACGTGAATAAAGTGTTCTATACATAAAATTTATTTTTCTTAGCCACATATATATTTAAAGGTTGGAGTTAATTTTCTTGCAAATCTAACATTTACCACTCAGATATGTTATAATTTTAAACTTTTATACAGAATAGAATTGTCAAAATCTCATTTCTTATTAAAATATACCTTAAATAGACAAATATTTATGTAATATTGTCTGTAATATAAATTTTCAAGGATAATGCATTTGTAAAACTAGAGGTCAACTGCCTTCTGAGAACAGATTTTTCTTTTGGATTGCTATATTTACTCAAAACCAACTAAAGCATATGAGTATATTATTCTTGTTGAAGCAATGTTTGTACATAATGCTATATCGTGTTTCCTAGATTTAAACTATGCCATTTTAATAACTACTTTTATAATAATTACTGTCAAGCCTGTTTTTTCGTGTTTAGTCAGTCTACAACTAATTTTCGAATGCAATCAGAGCAATTCCAATCAAATACAAATAGTCAAATACTAGGATAAAATTAGGATGTCTAGCAAAGTTTCTCATTAAATTTCCTTCATCAGATTGCTTTCTAATCTTTTAAAGTCTCTCATGCTAAAATTTCCAGAATCACCATTTCTTTAGGTGTCTTTGACTCAGGCGTCAACAACTTAGATATTAAACATGGATTTGCATAGCTGCCAGCATGGACAGGAAAAAAATCCAGTAGATTTTACGAAATATAAATTTCATGATAATTATTGCATAATGTACTAAATATTTTACAAATGGGGAATTTCTGGGATTTTTATAGTCATAAAAATACAAAAATTTCAATATTTTCCAGTTATGATTGACATTAAACACATTTGAAATGTTATGTATTATATATACTCATAATTTCAAATATTAAAAAGCATTTAATTCGTCAGAAATAGCTAAAAGATTTTTTTAATTAAATTAAAAAGAGAGTTCTGAATAAAAACAAACTGAACATTTTATAACAAAAAAAGTTTTGGACTTATTTCTATAAATGAGGTTTGCTTCATTATGTATTAGTAATACTTATTTAATTATTCAAACAAGAAAGCAATAATCTGTACAAAAATTTTATCTTAATAGGGATTTGTGTAGGAAACTTACTCAATTTTAAGGAATTTTCTAAAATTTATAAAAACAAGGAGAATTTTAATTAAACTAAGACCAGAAAAAACTGGCAAAATCCAGTAATCTACTGGGAAATTGGCAGCTATGCATTGGATTAATTTCCTGATAACATGGAGAATAATTGATAACTACTATTAGTAGTGAAAAATTTCAAAAATTAATGGTCCTCATTAAATAAACAATATTTAAATTTAATTTTAAATAGTGAACATTAATTTCAGAAATCATTCGCTATTTCCTAACTGTCTTAAGCGTTAATATCCTGTCAAAAAACACAGTACAAAAACATTCAAATAAATCAAGATGCCCAATTTATTCAACTATTAATATTTATTTTATTTAAAGAATGTTAATGGGAAAGAAAACTAAAACTTGTTTTTATAGTTTTATTAAAAACTTTGCTTTACATAGACTTTTTAATAGCTTGTATATTGCAATCTTTTTACAAGTTGAAGATTACATAATACATGGAGATTTTAAAAAAAAATAAATTATTTTTCAACAGAGTGAGCTACTGGAAGATGCCTACATTTAAAATCCCTGTTTTTCTCTCTCAATTCGTTGCTCGATTAAAATAAATCACAAGAAAAGATTAATTTGCAATAGACATTCTTGCACTTAGAAAATATTTTTAATAGCTTGAGATTTGCACATAAGTTGAATACTTTTTTTAAACCTTTTAGGACATAATACATAAATCAGCTAAAAGATTCTAAAAATGTAATAATAACAATAAAAACCTTAATAGGTCTATATACTATGTTTTTTATAAGAATATTTATAAAAGGTTCAAAATTAATCACAATTTATAGAACTATAAAAAAAAAAGTTAATGCATTTATCAAAAACAACCCATGATAATAAATCAAGATCTTATTTACTGGTATAGTGTAATTCTAAGTCACAATTTTAAAAGGTTATCATACAGGCCAATAAAACCATGCTTTTAGCATAAAATAATAAGTACTTTAAAATCATTTATATCTCTTTCTCTCTTATGAATGACATTTTCAAAGGAAAAATGATTTTACATAGCAAATGTAATGTGTTTCATAACACTCCTTCACACAATATAAAAAAAGGGTTATTAGAACTTCAAAAATACTGATTCAAGAAATGCATATTTTACAAATATCTATAAAAATAACTAATAAACCACAATTTTTTTAAACTTACCAATTTATTTAACTTGAACGAGTTAAAATTTTTAAAATTAAGTACAACTGATGAAAGGAGTATTTTAGCATTTATGTAACTATACTTCCAATTGAAAGTTCAGGTCAATTTTAAAAGGTTAATTATCAATATAATTTTACATTATGACACAATTTTATTTGAAAATTTATATATAAGTTAATCCCAAAACTAGGTAGTTTGATTTATAATATGAAATTTGTGTATGTACAAGGGAAGTGAGTAACAGGGTGCTAAATAACAGGATGTACAGGAAGAACATTTTCCTTAAAATTAGGAACAGGTAACTATAAATAAGTATAACAATAAACCTTTAGAAACAAACCACTTCCGAACAATACTTGATAAAATTGAATAGAAAAAGGTTTACATTATTTCAGAAATATGAGAAAAATTTAAACTTTAGATGTATGCTGCAATTAGATAATATTTTAGTTAAATATTTTCAAATAACAGTTCATCAAAATGTGATTTCTGTGTTTGCAAAGTCATTGGAATCTGTTCCAAACAAACTGTTACTTTACAAGGAGTTAAATTTTTTTAATTTGTTTAAATGCCAGAGAGTGAAAACATTCCTGTCTTTTTATGTATGAAAATAATTTGAATTTAAAAAAAAAAAAAAAACTGTCTTAAATATGTATTTGAAAATTGAGAACCTGACTGCTGCAAATTAATCAAACCAGCTTGGCCAGTACAGAGAAAATGGTCCCTTAATTTCTAAAATTATGTGATTATAATATTCTTTTTTCCTAAGTATTTAAATGAGCTCTGTTATGGCTTTTCTTTCGAAGTTATTTTAAGTATCAAAAAACCAAATGTTTACTAAATAAAGAATTACGACACATTGAAACTGTAAGCAGGATTGTTCTTAAAGTTCGAGCTAATGGAGTATTAAAATTTGAAAATCAGAGCATGTTCAACTGGCTCCGAGTAGTAAAACGTCCAACAAAAAAGATTATTTAGGGTAATATTCACCAAAACCAATGAAGTTCAATAAAAATTTAGTAATTTTTCTGATTTGGCATCACTATGCATTTATATACAAAAGTAAATGTGGTGTGAAACTTTTTAACATTGCATATTTTTCTTTTTGTAAATAGAACAACACAAAAAACACTAACACCAGATTCCGCTAAAAATTTGAGCAATAAAAACAGATTCTCTCAGTAATATCTTGTTTTATATTTAATATATTAACTATAAATAATTTAATGAGTTGACTTATTCCATTAAATAGTCCTATCTCAATTAGCTAAGCACAGAGTAAAAATCTATATCCATAGAGTTACTGAGTAACTATAACTGGAATTGAATACGGCATAATCAGTAAAACTTAAAAGACTAAAACAATAGCAGATACCATTGCTATAAAAACTTTTCTTTTACAAATAAAGGATAAAATTAAAAAAAAAAGAATACTTTAAGTACAGCAGAGGCTAAGAACTTGAAAACACTGAGTATAAAATGAAGCTTTTATATTGACCAGCAAAGGCAAATTAGTTTGATATGTACAAATTACAAAAATATATCAGCAAATTATGAGTACATCTTCTCTTAATTTGACTTGTTTCAATTCCTAAACCTTTATGTACAACAATAATGATACTGAACATAATTGATTCAATATATTCCAGTTTTTTAGAAAAAATAAAATATGTCATAGTATTCCACAAAACCACCGTGACTTTTTCACAGGTTCATTTGCCTTTAATTGATGACCGCAGGTTTTAGATGGTTGAGTCGCTTCCTAAATAAGAAATTAAAATCAAATCATTAAGGGATATGTAACATTAAAAAAAAACTTTATAGTTAAAGGGAATGTTTTACTTCATAAAATACTGGCATACATACAATTATATGGCATTCATATTTTTAAAATACTGGCTTTCATACATAAATGTATTGAATTTAATGGCTTTAAAAACAATTAAAGTATATTTATAAAATATTAGTTGTAAAGAAATTTTTAATCAAATTGATAAATTTATAAGGATTAATTCCAACAAATCCTTATTATATTTTTCTCTTTAGAGTCAAATATGCTGAATAAACAAAATATTTTTAAAAATGTGTATTATTTTGCTTTAAGATAACTATTTGTGTGTGTGAGTGTATGAGAGAGAGATAATTTGAGAAGCTGGATTGAACATTAAGTTCAATGACAAAGGAGCCAAAAATGGTTGTATTGCTCAAAACTTAAATCCTATTATGAAGAACTCAAAATAGCTTAACTGCTCAGAGTTAAAAACTAATAATAATATTAACAAAAATTTGTTCCGTTATACTATTTTATTTTTAAAATAGAACTTTCACAAATTTACTATGAAAATCACTTTAGTATAAAGATTATTTTACAATGTAAATTGAGATAAAACATTTTATTGCAAAAATGGACCTTCTTCAAGTAATTTTATCTTAAAAAAGGGTGCTTCACAAAATTTTTTTGAAAAACAGAGTCAGTGAAATTGTCATTTCAAAATTTTAACTCCTCACAGTTTTTATGTTTTTTTCCCCCTCACAAAAATAAAATAAAAAAATTTCAAAAAAAAAAAAAGGATATTTTACCGAAAAGTCTGGAATGATCCTGTCATTAGCAACAGAAAGGAAAAAAATAAAGAAAGAACTAAAATTACCATTTTCTTTTCCATTTTAGTTTTGATATCCCTTGCCAGTGACAAAAATGCATCCTGCACGTTAATACTATTTTTTGCACTTGTTTCCATGAAACGTATTCCATATTCCACAGCAAGCTATATAAATAAACATTTAATGAGGAACATTAAATGATGATGTGTATAGTAAAAAGCATATTTTTGTAATTTTTATAAAATTTATCAAAATCTTATAAGTTAAACATCATTTAGCTTAAACACATTTCTTGTTTAACATGAGAAACAAAAATCACTTATTTCATCAATAAGTTAATTTTTCATCAGATGCTCATAATGAATTTTCATTCTCATAATGAATAATTTTTGAAAAAGGTATTAACTATTAAAAGAAACATTTGCATAACAACAAATATTAGCAAATTATACAATTAATTAATATATATATTTGTAAAATGTTACTTTTTTAAAAGTATTTTCTAAACTTTCTAGTCAAGGTGGGATATTTGTATATCCTAATAAACAAATTTTCAAATTATTTTTTTAAAAAAATTATCAGATAAATAGGAATTATCTTTTCATATTAAACATTTTGAAAAATTAGATTTGTACTCATTTTTTTTACTATACCTGAATTGAAAATCTTCATAAAATATTGATAAATCAAAAATTCTAAGTAGTCTTTAAACATACCTGTTTTTCAGATGCGCAAAGTAAAAAATGGATTTGTAACCATTAACTTAATTACTGCAACAAGATTAATTTGTTAATAACATCAAAGACTTCGGGTTTTCAAATATCAAGGTACTTAAACAGAGTGCGCAGCCAGATTTTTCAACAAAAAATAAGCACTTTTTAAGCACTCAAAAATTTTTTAATCACTTTCCAAAAAAAATAAATAAATTCATAATTAGGATCTGTTCAATAATAAAAATAATATTTTTTTCTATCGTTTAAAGCTCTTAATTTATAAACATAAAATCAATCAAATTCAAAAAAGTTTTCAGAAATTTTACATAATCATGATAAAATAACTAGTTTCTGATAAACATTGTAAAGAAAATTGCAAAAATCATGCACTTTTTGTAATTTAGAAAGACAATTGACATGGCAAAGGAAAAAAACCTCTTTTGCACCTTTAAGGGCTTTTTTAAAAATGTAAATAAAAAATAAACACTTTTTAAAATCACTATGCACTCTGTTAAAATACACTGAAAAAAATTATACTTAAAGGCAAATGCTGACACAATAAGTCAATGAATTTTAATGAGTTATTTTTTAAACAGTTAAGAAGATCAGAAAAATGCCTTTTCATGTGTCTAAAATTAATGAATTCAAATTTAAACACCACCAACTTCTGGTAATAATCGTAATTAAGGATCATCAGTTGAGCATAGTTTCAATTTTTGCACTTTGAAAACTAATATTTTTTTCATTGACAGCGAGTGAACAGGTAACTAAAGTCTGGAGGAAATTATTCAAATCACTTTCTTTAAGCATTACAGCTCAATAAATTTGAATCTCTATCAATGAAGAAAGATTTATCTATTCTTAATTTAGGAAGTACTGGGCATATTTAGTGATCAAAAATCCATAGCAACCATTTTACTTTGGCCCCGGTTGGGCTCAATATGAGACCTACATTAATGTTGACCGAGGGACCAACATTGGGATGTCTAGATTTTTTAATATTGGTCCTATATCGGGCAAATATCGGCCTATATACTGCCAATATAGGCTGAATAATGAATCTAAAATATCAGGTGAATCTGAAAGCTCTATATAGAGCCAATATTGGCTGTAAAATATCGGCCAAATCGGACAGTTCTATACAGGGCCAATATCGGCCCTTTGAACATTTATTGAGTCAAGATTCGTTAATATTGGTACAATGAGGGCCCAAGTTATTTTGCTGCTAGGGATATTATGAAATATTGATTACTTTCTATTATTGAGATTGTGAAGTGTATATTGCCTGGAGTTGTCTGCATGCATTCATAACCTAAGTTAATTTAACCAAAGGGTTCAATAAATTCATCAATCATATTGTATTTTCTCTACTTGTGAAGTGTTGTAAGAGGTAGTTTATTTTAAGAGTTAAAACAGGTGGTGTTCATATTCTTGATTTTATTTTTTCTTTGACTTCTCTGGAAGTGATTATTAGCAAAATTGTCTACTCCTTAACAGATTAATGCTAAATATCAATTTTAATAAAGAACATTTGGAAAAAAGTGCTTTACAAAAGGAAAACATAAAATACCAAATGCAACTGGGTATATACCTGTTCTCCTCTCTCTCTTGAAACTTGTCTTCGATCATTCACATCACATTTATTACCTAAAATCATTTTCTCAACATCTGTTGAAGCATGCTTTAAAAAAAAGAGAGGAGAGATTAGAACAATTATTGATGGATAATTACAAAACATTTCATTCTTAGTAAATATAGACAGATTTACATGAAAACAAAATCCAAGCAATTAACTTGATTCTGGGTAACTAAAAATAGTTCACAATAAACTTCATTTGTCCCAAAATTTGTTATAAAGTATAAAAATTTACTAAGTCTAAGTTAATACTGTCAAACTCGCATACAGCGAGAGTGAAGGGACCAGAATATTGCCTCGTTATAACCAAGTGCTCGTAAAAAATGGGTTTGTCAAACAAATTGAAAAAATTTCATAAATATCTACAAAATTCTGGAAAAAAAATATTTGTTCTTTCCGTATAGCACAAAATTTTTGAGTTAGTTTGATATGAACTGTCTTTTTGTCTCTTCCTTGGATGAGACTCGTGGCCTTAAAAACATCGCCAATCCTGTTCTCATAAAAATTACACTATTTGCTGAATATATGACTCATACTAACTTTCAATTTTCTCTGGAATGTTAGACAAATTTTTTCCAAAAAGTATTAGCTACTCTGAAGAGGTGGAAATACATAAATTTTTTTTAAATCACAAAAAAGATACTTGCTAAAGCCGGGGTTTACTCATTAAAAGTGAACTTTGCTTCAATGGACTTAATGTTGTCCCAACCAATCATTTTCAATTTGTTCATTAAATCAAAGTTTTTGTTAAATCAGTCTTGTTATAAGTGAGTTCAACTATATTAAATCCAAAATTTGTTAAAGGTATATATATGATCCACAGTTGTACAGCTCAATTCTCTTTCAAATATCTAATGTTTTTGAATTTGTTTTGTAATAAAAATACAGTTAACAGATTTTGTAATATTTAAGCATTGAAATGAGAATGAAATTTGTATTACAAATAAAGAGTAAATTTAGTTTACATTACATAACATTTAATATCAATTTTAATTTTAAAAATTGTATTCATAATAAAATGTTTATTAAATGTATCTTCAATACAAAAGAAGAGTATTAAAAAACAATTATCAGCATACTATAAAGAATAGTTAAGGAACACTTGAAAACAAAAAAGACAATGAGGTTGGAAATGTTAATAATTTATTGACTGTCTACTAAGATTTTTATTATAATGGCTTTTGAAATAGCAAACAAAATTAAAATTTTTACGCAATCTTAATTTCCATCTAAGTATTGAAATTTTTTTATAGACTTAGAAACAAGTCCCAATTGTTTAAAAGTCATACACACATTCTAATGATTATTTACAGAATAAATCAAAAACTTAGATGTTTTAAGATTTTAGACACTACAAAGTAAGCAAAAGGCATATTTTACTTAAATAAAATAATTAAATTAAATTAATAATTTCCTTAATTTTGTAACCTAGAAAAGATATTAAGTGAAATAAAAAAATAAGAGCTAATTTTTTATTTCTATCTTTTGAAGTGGCAAAGATATTTAATAACTTAATACTAAATGCAAAAATGATAAAATTTAAATTATTTTCAATAATTTAAAAAAGTTTAAATAAATATTAAAATTATTTTTTTAAACAAATTTGTTAGCTTCATTAGAACTTAAATATTGAAGAATAAAAGCTTTCAAAATTTTTTTGCATTTTCTAATATTTATAATAATACACTGATGACAAAAAGCATAACTGTAGCATTAGACTGAACCTTAACAAGCCTTTTATATTCTTTAATAAGGTTTAGCAGTCAAAGTTTAAAAAAAAGAAAAAAAATTAACATTACAACATACTTTTAACCAAATTTAGGGAAAGTATTACAAATGCTATAATGTTTTAATTATGTGGGAGAAGAAAAAAAAAAACTTTAAAATGCTTACTGGATGGAAAATATTACCACAAGACATTTTCTTAATAAAAAAATTTATAGGCAACAAATCAAACAAGGAAAGGTAAAGATAATTGAAAAGAAAGTATAGATTGTAGTGTTAATAAATAAATGCTTTCAATCAAAAGTATTTGAAATAAAATACCGATAATTCTTGCATTTCAATTATTAGTTATTATTTGGCACAAATATCTCTTAATTTTTTAAATATGGAACACCACAACAGTTATAACCAAAGTAAAAAAATCTCTTCATGATAAAATAACTTTTAAAAAATTCCTTCACAAAGAAAACTTGAAATTAATTTAATTGCTAACAAGATTCATTTTAATAAATGAATTTTAAAATAAAATTGAAAAAAAAAAGAAAAGAATTTAATAGCATATTTTAGGCTTAATATATGTTTATTTGTTTAATTCCTAATCTTATTTATTTAACTTTAAACATAAACATATTGGTTATTAGATTTAACACAGGTCACTTTGATTTATGGATTCAAGAGTGAACAAAAGAATTAATCATTCTTTTTTAATGACTAACAAATTGAAAACCTTTATTAATTTACAAATTAGTAGAACATGGGTCGAAGTCTCTTACTTGATCAAATTTACTTTTTTACTCAATTGCAGCTGAAATAATGGAAATAAATATATTTAGGAGAACCAGTGAGATTTTCAAGGAACTATAAATAAGTATTTATCATTCAATACTAATTTAGAAATTTGGGTAAAATCCCAGAATAGACCACCCCTTGGCGACTTTTTGAAATCTCGCCAAGTTGGCGAGTATTACGTGGATTAAGGTTGTTTTTTATTACTAAAAAAAATTTAATTACAAAATTATTAAAATATTTTTAATAAAATAAAAAATAAATCAAAATAGACGTTACGTAAGGTTGCAACATACCTCCGCGAAATATCTTACAGAAACCTAGTTTGGCGAGATTTCAAAAACTCGCCACGGGGTAGGCTCTAGGATTCACCCGAAATTTTAAATATTATACCCACATCAGCAACATAAAAATTTAGTGATATCAAACATATTTAATTTAGATAGAACACAAAAAAAGAGAAAATCAAAAATACACTTGGAATTCACATACTTCCTCAATATTCCTTATCCAATTCTTAATATTTTCAAAAGATCTCTCATTCGTTACATCATAAACTAACATGATACCCTGAAACAATTATAATACATTAATAAGAAATAATTTTTAAATGCTTATTTACATATTTTTAAATGATCTATGCACCACACATACCATTGCACCTCTGTAATAGGCAGTAGTGATTGTTCTGAATCGTTCTTGACCTGCAGTATCCCTACAAAAATATGCAAAATAAACAGAAACAAATTCAAAATGTCGATTTTGAAACATACACAAGGACAATGGCTTGTACTTACCATATCTGAAGTTTTATTTTCTTACCATCCAACTCTATGGTTTTTATCTTGAAGTCTATGCCTACAAGGTAAAAAAATGTATCATCTAACCCGAGAGTCATGTTTTAAAATCTTACGCTCAAAGAACTTATTAGATAGACTGATGGTTTTGAAAGAACTAAGCATTGTGTTTTTATTGCATATTGCAACAAAAGGAAAGTCATAAATTATAAAAGGCTATAAAAAAATAGTAAAAAATTTTTTTAGAGTCAATTACTCATTCTCATGAATAAGAAATGATCTATGTTTTAACAAACTATTTAAGCTAGATAAAAAGAAAAAAAGATCCATTTAAAACAAGTTGTAAGTTTGAAGGGAGAAAAAAAAAAAAAACATAACTTAAAGATTATTTTCTCTATTAAAGCAATTTTCTGTTAAACTTTTTTTTGAAGTCAAAAAGTTAAATATAAAGGTGAAAAAAGAAAAGTATGAAGTAAAAATCTTAAAGATACAAATAAGAATCTTAGGATAAAAATAGCAATTATTTTAGCTAAGCATTTTATAAATAGAATGTTTAAATTATGGAACTCAAATAAATTTAGTATTGCTTCTTTATAGTTGAAAACAATATAAACAATCACATAAAAAAAAGTTTTTTAACATTTATGTTAATTCAGTCATTATGGTTTAGATTAATTAGTCAGTCCTAATTTTGAATTGAAAAGTTTTATATACTTGCAACTTTTTTTCCAGGCAACTTTGTAAAGAAATTTATACTCAATACACAATTTTTTCCTCACATGTATACTAAAGACCTCACATGTATTTTCCTCACATGCAATTAAAGAAAAAACAAAACTCACAAAAGAGATGGGGTTTATAAAAAAAAGTCATTTAAAAAAGGAGCATTGGAAACAACACAGCTCCATTTGTAATTGCTAATTGATAACGAAATTTCCAAAATTAATTTTATAAATGCTTCTTACTACATCGAAATAATTGTTTAATATTAAGTTCATGCTGAATAATGATACTAAGTCCAAAAATATGTTTTCTAATATTTATAAAAAATATCTTTAAAGGGAGAAAAAAAAGTAAAATAATTTCCTCCTGTAAAAATGCAACAACAAAAACTAAATAAAAATATTTCAAAATTGCACCTGAATTGAAGAGCATACCTGAATTATGCAATCAACAATACCTGGTTGTGACCTTACTAGATTTCAAGTAACAATCCAGGTTATGCTCTGAATAGAAAGGTTAAATGCAGAATATGCCAAATAGAGAAAAATCAATACCCACATAAGTTTTGATTACTTCTAACTATTCAGTTTTCATATTAAATGGAGCTTGAAAGTATCTTTAGAGCTCAAAATAAAACCTTAAATAAACAATTATTTTTGACATAGGTCTTGCAAAAAAAAAATTATAAAATAATAATCAATAAAAATTTAAAATTCTGCTAAAAAATAATTTTGAAATATTTTATTTATTCAGAAATAACTTATTTTTTTAAGCTATACAGCGAGGAAAAAAGAATTAGTTTAATATAAGCTTAAAATTTCAAACATGTAATAAATCATTGTTTTTTACATAAATCTTGTAGAATAAAATAACTAAAATAAAAAAAAATCAATAGAAATATGAAATTTTGTTTTAAAAAAATAACTTAGAAATACTTTATTTACTTGCAAATATTTGTTTTTTAAATTATACAAGAGAAAAATTCAAATTACAACATTCATTTGTAAATAAAAAGTGCATATATCATCAAGTTGATAAAAAAACTATTTTTGTTTACTTATCCACTCTTTATAATAACACTAAATTTTCGATTTTATCACTTTTCTGTCCAGAAAAACATAAAACTTCTCGCTAGGAAGTTGACTATTTTATTACATTTAATCTATTTAAAATTAAAAACACTACAAAAATAAATAACTCATGTTTAATATGCATTCTATATAAAGGGAGGATAGATGGTTAAATATCTGTATTAGTATCTATTCTCACTAATGCTAAGATCGCAATTATTTTTAAGAAATATGTCACAGTTTGCTAGGGGGTAACTACGAATCTATCTCCTTTTCCACAATGTTTTTCTTTTTCATGTCTCTTTGCACAGTTGTCACCAAAATTTAGATCACATCCCGATAAGGAAATTTTCACATATATATTACAAACGATTTCTCACAAGCTGAATTCTAATTGGTTTAGAATAATCTATCTAACAGGTTTGGGTAACTTTATCAGTTAAATTAATTACTTAACATATTTCAAACTACATTGGCTATTTTTGATGCAACAAAAATTAGAAAGGTAGGAAACAATACAAGATTTTTACTTTGGTCAATGGAAATACAGCAAATATTTTATACACAAAATATAAAACCAGCTAATATCTTTAAGTGGGATCTGTAAGCTATTGGATGAAAATCTCAGTGGTAATAAAAACATTGTTGTAAGTGTCATCAAAATATAGAAATGCTAGCAAATATAATTAATAGGTACACATTTAATGATTAAGTTACACAATCATAACTGTTTTTATAATACTAATTCTCTAATTTTTAGATTAGAAATTTATGGTCTCTAAGCTTGAAAATTTAATGAAACAATAAATACTAATTATTAAATAAACATTCAGAATTATAATATTATTATGTACATTAACAAAGTACAGACCTAGTAATAATTATATTAGTAATCTAATAGTTTATTAAAACTGTATTCAACTTCCCTCTTTAAATTTAATAAAAAAGAAACTTTAAATTGAGAAATATTGCTAAATGTCATGAATGGCTAATCTAGTAAATTTTAACAAATAATAACTGAGAAATCAAGTATCTTTTCACACAATATTGTTTAGGATATAGCTAATCAAGTGACGTTTTGTTTATACCTACTGAATAAGTTTCACAATACAGCAATATATTGTTTACTTAAGCAATGGAGGAAGGAAAAAAAACTATAATCATATTTTTTAAACATTTTGAGATTATTATTATAAAAGATCGAAATAATTAGAAAAAATTATTCTGTCGCAAATACTTAATTGTACTTTTGATAAAAAATGAATCATTAAGTCATTTTTAATTAGCAATTAGATTAGAGTAAATTATTTATTGTTTCATCGTGAATTAACCCACAACACATTAAAACGCACGATAATAATTGCAGATAATTAAAAGACTAACAGTGAAAGTATGCGGATATGAGCAACTTCACAATTAAAGGAATTAACCGGTAAATTGCATCTAACTCACCAATCGTGGAAATAAACGTTGAATTAAATGTATCTTCTGAAAACCTAAATAGTATACAAGTTTTCCCCACACCGGAATCACCAATTAACAAAAGTTTAAATAAATAATCGTAAGTTTTGGCCATTGCCTTTGACAAGTATAGAAATTTTAAGTGTTGGTACTGTGATAATAGACTTGAAACCTAGACAAACAACTTAACAATGCCATATGCATAATTGCTTAGCATTCAGCGCTCGTAGCAGTGAGCAAATGAAATATAAATAATTCCACGTCTTGATTAGCGCCATCTATGTTTATAATCTTTTGTTATTTTTTATTTTCACTTTCCATTTGTTAATTCCTAATCAAAACATGCCCTTACAGCTTTAGAAATAAATTTTAAAAATAAAAAAATTAATTTAAAATTAATTAACATTCCTTTTCAGCGTTTATAATTGTTTATTTTATAAAAAAAGCTATTTTTTTAATCCTTTAGTATAAAATTTGCCTAAACATATATATTTTTAAACCATTGAAATCATACAATTTATTTACAAACTATTTAAGATTTTATTTTCCTAGAAGATAAATAACACGTCCCAAAAAAGGAAAAACAAAACTTGCAGAAGCCAAAACAGATGCGTATCTCCGCCTATGATTCTGCTCAGCTGATTGTATTCCAAGATGGTCGCGCTATCATCTTCTATAAGTATTTTATTTAATATAATTAACACTGCAATTAGTGATGAATACTATCACTATGAAGCTAGAAAACAAACATTCTATATTGCCATCCTCTAAAATTAAAGGAAAGGATTCAGTGGTTGGAAAAAAGTCTAAAAACCTTAGGAAAAAATCTATCGCTGCTAACACTGACAAAGACGCCTCGTTAATTGATCATGGCCTGGGACGTAAATCCAGCGAAATAAATTATGACTTTAATGATTCAAAATCATCTAATCCTATGGAACAGAGTTCCTCTAAAAAATCACGATGTAAAAAAAATTGCACTAAGAGTAATGACAAAACAATAACAACATCTAAGACAATGCATGAACGTTTGCAGCAAATTTTAAGGTAATTATTAAAATCTGAAAAAAAAATAATGAAATTATATATGCTTAAAATATCAATAGATGCTTCTGTAAGTGTTAAATTTTAAAAACTTTAATTATCATTTTATTAATTGCCTATGAGGTACTTCAAAAATTAGCATTTTTATCTTGCTAAAAATTATGATTTGTTTATTAAATAAATTTTATGTATAGAAATCAAATGAACTAGCTGCCTAAAATGTTTTATAAATGCATTTTTTAATTCATATCACAGATAAAAGATTGTTTATTTTGATGATATTATTGTAGGAACTTATTTTACTTAAAATCTGTTGTGCTGTCAAAATAAATCATTTAATTTTTTGTTTTGATGGTAAGCAACTCATGCATTTTTAAAACACACAGGTTATGATTAAGTTCTTCATTGTAAAATTAATTCTAAGATTTTGTATATGTGAATCTATTTTTCTTTAAAGTTTAATAACAGTTAATTCTTCTGAATGATATGGTTAAAATATATTAATAGTTGCGAAAAGTTATTCTTAATACACAACTGCAATGTTAGCCAACCTCTTTTAAAGTTATTATTTATGTGATTTTCTAATAAGTTTGTCTTATTCTCTGTTGCATTATTATGTATTATTATTACATAAACAAATCTTATTTATACTATCAATAAATTTTAAAAATACTTCATTTGTTTTGATGGTAAATTACACATTTTTTAAAAACACTGGTTTTATGAGATTCTCTATTGATGATTTTGTCTGAATGTGTTTTTCTTTAATGTATGTTTGTTACATCACTGTTTTTTCTTAACATAAAACCATTAACAACTATAACGATATCTTTAATAGTTAATGGATTTATAAGTCAACATCTTGTAAAATCGAAAAACTTTGCCTTATTTTCTTGATGCATTGTCTTTTAGAAGAATGATCTATTCATAATGTGCTAGCAGGAAAAAGTAAAACATATTAAAATGCTATTTTGCCAGGGGTAAAATGATGCTAGTGTTTGACACTTATCTTTTAGCACTACAGTATTTATTCAGTAAAGATGTGAAATTTTTGAGTATTTTTAAACATAATTTAGTTCTTGAAAGAAAGAGACAAGGGAAATCTATCTTCTATACTTTCAATAGATTCTGTAAAAAATCTTATTTATTCAAATGAATATTGATGTGTAATCACAGTGTAATTGTCAGTCTCATATAGTAAAAAGTATATACTTATATTATGTAGTTTCTCTACTAATATATCTATATGTATCAGAAGGAAAACCTACAGTATTTACTCTAAACTAAGAGGAAAAAATTACTTTAAATAAAAAATTTTCATTAAATGATGTTATAGCTGTGATTACCTAGGCTATTTTATTTATTTATAATTTTCTTTTAATTTCAAAGGTCTACATAAATTGTAGTAATGATAACGCATTTCACATATCTCTATAATTTTGTAGAATATTTGCAATTGCAGACCACATTAATTTGGGAATCTTTAATCAGAAAATAAGTTACTGTTTGAGAAACATTAATTTCAAAACTTAATAAAATATACCAGTGGTTCATATTTCTTGAGTGGTATATTAATTGGCAAGGGATGCTTACCTTTTTTAGAAGAAAATTTTAGGAAAAGAAGAAGAAAATTCTACGTTTTTGTGAATGCAATTAATTGGTTAATCAATTAGTAAATGTATCAATTCATAACTTAATTGTTCCTTCATGTAATTATTACAATATCTGTTTGTCTTCAAACAAGTACTTTATAAAGTCTATGTACAATTATATAGTATTATAATTATATACTATTAAGCCTGTGTATTCAAATTAAAAATCATTTAAAGTTATACACACTCTATTTCTTAAAAAGTTGAATTTTAGCAGGATTTAGCAAATATTTCTCTGCATAAAAATTTAATATATAATTTTTTCTTTACAAAAATTAGAATATTCTATCTTTGAATCTATGATTTATAAATTATCTTTAAATTGCATTAGTGTTGAGCTTGCTTTGTTAAAGAATAATTTTTTTGAAAAAAAAAGTATGCTGAAAGATTTAAATCCTTTGACTCATTAAATTAATCTTTTGAAATTTTGTTATTTCAAAGTTCAAGTTTGGATGTTTATTTTTTTAAAAGTTTTTTTAAAATTAGTTTAAAAACAGTATTTTTTATTACATTTATTATGTTGGTTTTCCAATTAATTTTTGATTGTAGGGCAAAAGATGGCATATTGACCATTTTAGGGCTGTAATTGGCCTCCTGATTGCAAGTTGACCCTTAATCTAGATTAATCAATTTTATTAATTAAAAATTTTACTTACTATTATACAGGCCCGTAGCCAGGGGTGACCGTTGGGATAAATCCCCCCCTCCCGAAATTCTGGGATTCAAACTTTTTAGTCTTTCTTTGAGCCTCTCAGTAAAAAGAAAAACAAAAACTGTCGAATTTAACCTTTTCCCGGTACACCACCTTCGCTAGTGCATCTTCTTCACTTGACCTTGTGGCTCATCTTTCCTTTTACCATTACATTTATTGCTTGTTATCAATATTGGCTACGTTGCCAATCACCACAGCAACTGCACAAAGAACTTTTTCTACTCTTAAATGCGTAAAAACAGCAACAAGAAATGCTACTGAAGAAGAAAGGCTAACAAGGCTAACTTTATTAACCATATTTCGGGATATTCCGGTTTGTCCTAAAAAAGTAATCGAGAAATTTTCTTCAAATCCCCGTCGCATGTCTTTGTAAACTTTGTTTGCAAATTGATTATAATTATTATGTAATATTAATTGAAAAATAATTATTATGTAATATTTTTTAATTACTAGTTTAACTTTTGCAAACAATAGAATAAACAATATTTGTTGCAATGTTTTTCCCCTACTTTGCATGTCTGAAACTGTCCTTGCTTCTTACCATATCCCCCCCGAAAAAGTATCCTGGATACGGCCTTGCTATTATATTATTCCCTGATAAAAGCTATTTAATATGTAAGAAATTAAGAACTAAAATTTTTAAGGATTAAACAAATTGTTATTTGTTATAGCCTTAGTTTTTAAAAGTTTGCTTGACTTACAATATTTAATGATGATTGTTATTTTTAAAATTTCACTTTTCTTAATTTTTAGCCCATCTTCAAAAGACAAAATTTCTAGTATTTTGGTAAGTTAAACTTATTTTTTTATGGAATTTCTATTGATTTTAAAGCTTTTTATTTAATGGTTAGATGAATATTTTATTTTATGTTTAATTATGTATTAAATAAATCCCACAATCTATTTTGCCACCGTCAGATTTATAATGACCTATCAGTATGGAAGTTATAATTTTTATCTATTTTCAATCTAAAGGATTTAAAAGGTGTACCATGAGAAACTATTATTTGATTATTTTTCTAATATGATGTTCTTTTTTATCATAGCAAATTTTTCTGTTTGAAAATAACTTTTGTTATTTCAAAAAATAAATCAAGAAATTTATTAAATAATTATACAAAATTACCAGACCTTATATAATCTATCAGGTTTAAATCATTTATAAAAAACTGACTAAAATTGACTTCACATTTTTTTCGATAGTTTTTAATTTTGAACTTTCTTTTTATTGCCTATTTACCATTTATTTTAAAAATTATATAGGATGTTTTTTAATAGCCTAATATTTTTCTGCTTATAAGAAAATGTAATAATAACTATTTTATTTAGAATATAAATATAAAATGTGACTGGCACTACATAGAAAGGACATAGAGTAAAGCATCATATTTTTAGTTTGAAATTTTCTTCTATAAGCAATAACGATTATTTTTTAAAATTTATTTAAAAGATAAAAAAAAAAACTTTAAATTAACAGGAAACATTGAAAATACACTTGATATGACACATAGAAAGTGGCAAACAAACATAAAGCTTTTGTAACTGATGCTACAAATACAAACTATGTTAAAATTTTAATAAACGTTTTTATTGTTATAAATACTTAAAGCTACAATTTTTAATTTTATGAAAAAAAATGTCTAACAGATTATAGGTAGATTTATAAATTTAACAATACATGAAGAACATCTGAGAATAAAATTTTAAATGCCCCAGGATTAAAAATATGTAACAAAGAACTGTATATTTCACTTGAGTTTTTTTCAATGAAAATTGGTGTTCTAAATATTTTAGAATTTTTATCTGTGAAATAATATATATATATTTTTTAGAATGAAGTCAAATCTTTATCCGATGTGGAAAAGTTATTTTTATATTTGCAATTACCCACTGGATCACCCTTTGAAGTTGACCCTTTTAAAATGTAAGATGTTTGTTTAATACCTAATTAATTATTTATTTTTTTTGTTTTGCATTTCTATCAATTTTATTAATTAATTGCATTTTGATAATTTTAATAATATGCTTTTGTTTTTTACTGTTTAAAAAAAGTCTAACTAAAAAATCATCATTAAAAAAAAAGAAGAAAAATAAGCTTTTAAATTTAGGCATAATCAATGACAAACTACTGTACAAGAAGGATATTATTATTATTATTTTTTTTTTTTTTGCTTGTTTAAAATTAGTTTAATTTAACATAATTTTTTTTAAATATGATAATGCAACATTTTTACTCCTTAGATTTTGTTATTGCAAACAATAACTATTTTTTTTTTTAAATTTCTCAGTATGTAAAAATAAAAATAAAATTACTAAATTTTTTTATACAATTAAATATGAGTTAATTGCAACAATTTTGATACTCATTTAATTTTTGTAATTTACCTTTTATAGCAGAAACCAAAATCCTCTTGGGAAGAAAGCAGATGATGAGGGCATGATTGCTGTAACCTGGATTCAAAGCCATCTTGAAGAAGATCCTGAAGTTTCTCTACCCAAGCAAGAAGTGTATGATGAATATCAGTGAGTCACTATGATTACATGATTTATACTTGAGGAATGAAAAATACATTTATACTTAGTTGATGTCATCTAATTTATGGGTTTTCCATTTAGTTTTTGAAGAGAATATTACTTTTATGATACTCATTTGATATTGAAACTATCATTTAACTTTAATTTTGCTTGAACTTGTATGCTCAGGATGAAAATATTTGTGTGTTATTCAAAATGTTTATTTATTTATTCACCCCCCCTCAGACATTAAGTATTTACAAAAGTCCTTTCTTTATTACACCCTTCCAACAGAAGAGATTAATCTTACTGTATTAAATCAAATATTTGAAGTAGCAAAAGTTTTTTTTTTTTTTTTTTAAATTTTAAAACATATTTAATTTNTTTTTTTTTTTTTTTTTAAATTCTAAAACATTGTAATAAGGTTTTATTTAATATAGTAAGAAATTTGCTGAGATTTAGATTACATTTCTAAAGTTAATGTTGTTGTTATTATTTAAAATGTACCCAATTTTAACTAATTTCTTTTCTGAGTTGTTTTAGAAGCATTTGTTATAGTAGAAAAAGTGAGGTTGCTATTTATATGGTTTTCTACTTAGTCTGATATAATTAAGAAATATCAGTTTTATATTGACTTAAATTTTTTTAATTCTTCTACTAGTTATTATAGTATTTATCATATTATATAGTTAGATTTTGAAATTTGGTTTCAAACCGGAATTTTTTTAAATCTAGTTTCTACCAGAAATCTAAGTTTAGGAACTTGGAAGGAAAAGTTTTTATAAAAAAAAGTGTATTTTCTATTCAATATTACTATAGTCTTTTTACAAATTGGTCAATTTAATAAAATTCATGTAGCTAATATTTACTAGATAAATAAAATTCAATGTAGTAAATTTCAACCCTCTGGGCGTTAGTTCCGGCTTTTTCCTAACTTTTAGCTGCAAACTTACCTGCATTAAATAACTGGTTTCCTCCCATCCATATAGTTTCACTTAGGGACTCAGTGCTTTGAGGATTAAACAGTGACGATTATCACATAGAGTTAAAAATTAAAGTTCAATATGACTGCTGTTTTTTTTAATACACTTGCTTAAAAGCAATATTATTGTATCTCGAATTTTTTTTTAAATGAAAATTTATGTTATCTTAATTATTTAAAATTTTTTATTGAAATATTAAACTAACAAAATATAAAATAATAATGAATTCCCAAAAATAAAAATAACGAAATACTGGAATTTTGTAAAGGCCCCTAAACTGATCTACATGTAATTTCAATAGGGTAAAAAGATACCATTTTTAAAATAAATAATTAATGAAATTTTAATGAATTTTAAACAGCTTATATGCTAATAAAGATGATAATAATACACAATTTAATTTTTTTCTCACCAGACAGGCTACTGAATTTTACTACATTACCAAATGCAGTAAACCTTTTTTTCTTTCTTTTTTTGTTTGTTTTAAAGTATTTATTTTAAGCACTCTTTGTATTTCTATACTTTTTAAATTTTCATTTTAAATTTTTAAACCTGCAAGTTTTACTGTTTTTTTTATTTAATTAAATCTAATTTTTAAACAGACAATAAGAAATTCTTAACTTAAATGGCAATTATTTATTTTTAAATGTACATTTTGCAGATCTTATTGCCATATGACTGGCACGGATGCTCTTTGTGCAGCTGATTTTGGTAAAGTTATGAAGCAGATATTTCCATCTGTTAAACCAAGGAGACTTGGTACTAGAGGAAATTCCAGGTACCTCCTTTTTTTCATTATGAAAAGAAGTGAAAACAAATTGATAAATTAGTTGCTGACATAACTGTTATTATTATTAGTTTTTAAAATAATTATAATAATATTCGTATTAATGGTTGTAATAATAGCTGTCCAAATTATGTTTTGCTTTAAAATTATATGCCTTACTTCTGATCTTTTTCTGCACTTTTAGATTCTATTAAATAAAAAATAATAGATTTTATGTAACTTCATAACATTAGAAAGCCATTATGTAATAACTGCTTTCTGTTATGTTAATATTATATTATGTCTGATATCTGTTATGTCAAGCGGTCTACAAATTCTGGACATCAGATGGTGCTTAAAATTTTTTTACTGGTTCCCAATAATTTAATATTATTTAACTTGTTCTTTTTTTCCTCCTTTAAATCTGAATTATTTGGAAAGAGTTTTCGAAAGATAAAATACAAAACAGAATATTCTCAAAATCCTACTATCTTATCAAATACGATAGCCTTCTCACTGGCAACCAGTTCCTTATTTATTTTAAGTTTATAGGCTCTTCTGTTATTTATAAAAAGCCAAAAGCAAAGAGGATTAGCATTGGTTAATCTGTCCCATAAAGCAAGTCTAAACCAGATCCATCTTTATTTAGATATAATGCAGCCATGTTTTGTGAGTTAGCGTGCATAATTATTTGTGCTTTAAAATTGTTTGATTTGTAAAATTGTCTGATCAATTTTAGACACTATTAAGTAAAAGATAATAGACTTTATGTAATTTCATAATATCAGAAAGCCATTATACTACTTTCTATTCCATAAAAATTTGACTTCTAAAAATTTTTCCTGGTCCCTTGAAAGTTTGAATTTTCATTGTGGTTTTATTAATAGTTGTTGAAATAGTTGATAACTTGGTGTTGAGACATTGTTCATTTTTTCTAAAAAAAGATAAAATTTTTATTTTCTCTAATTGTTCTCTTTTTTTTATCACAGATACTGTTACAGTGGTTTAAGGAAGAAATTAAATTTGAAGCCCCCTTCTTTGCCAGATATAAATACTGATCCTGAAAGCTGTGATGTAAGTTCTGCAATTGTTAAGTTCAAATATTAGTTATTAATATTAGTTGTAGTTGTGAAGTTCAATAGTTTAAGAAATTTTATCAGCACCAATCAATTTCTCAAGAACTTGATAGATATCCAATTATTATTCTCTATGACCCTTTCTTTACAAATTATTGAAAATTATCACAATTTTCTGGAAAATAAAATGGGGTGAGGAAAGAAAGTGGTAAATTTTGAAGTAAAGTTATTTGTGCTATAAAATTCAGGAAAAACACTTTTTATTGACAAAAATTTAGTGTATATATACAAAATGCCGTTTATTTTCTCTTTACAAAATGTCATTAACTATCTACTTTTCAAAAAATGACCTTAAAAAGATGTGCTCCATGTGGTTTAGTACTTCTGTCTCATGTCATGTTTATGATGTAAAAAGACATTTAGGTATATTTTGTTTCATATTTGCGCATTTTTCTGTGGTCATCTTTAAGAAGTAAATAGTTGCCAATATTTTGTTATAAAAGAATTGTTATAATGTATACGTTCTCTCAAAATTAAAAAACGTTCTGGTTTACCTTGAGCAAATTAAGTTACTTCTGAATTTCTTGTTCCTCTGCACCACCCAATTTATTGTTAGTTTTTTTCTATCCTTAAAATTTAGTTTTGATAGCACTGTAAAGAGATGGTTTAAGAGGTAAGAGAAACTAGTTAATAGTTGAAATTTACCACAAATAAAAGTAAAATTGAATAACCAGACTTTGTTTAATGCTAGTAACTGCATTTAAATGAATCTAATGAATGAAGAAGAAAAAATTTCATAGCTTTTTAGTGAGAATACACAATATCATCTATGTTCCTTTACCTCATTCAATTATGTTGTCTTTCAAAAAGAAAAAAGTATTTGGCTTATTTTATATTGGATTCTTCCATAATTATTCTTTAGAAATCTTTATTAGCTTAGCAAAAATACATTTTTTATTAATGATAACATTTTAATAATATGATGAACGATGGGAAATTTTATTGTTTCAATTAACCATTTTTTTGGAATCAGTCATATTTGAATGAAAAAGTATATTAAATCTAAAAATAAATTTAAAACAGCTGTCTCAAATTTTAGGTTCATTTTAATTTTAATGGACAACTAATCAAATTTTCATTTTGCAATTTCCATGTATGTTAACTGAGCTTAAAGCTAAAATGTAAATATTTGCAAGGTAAAAGCCTCATCTTTACTGAACATAAGCAAAATCTAGTTCTGAAGCGCGCAAAGAGGCTTCCCCTTTCTCAAACATACATAAAGCAGAGCTTGTTACATAATAGAACCGGTTGTTTTAGAGATCATTTTACTTATGAGAAAAACTTAAATATTCAAATTGAAACAGTTAAGAAACTCAGCCCCATTTGCATTATGTATTGCCAATAAAAACTTTATTCTAATAAAATTTTCATCCTTAAAAGAAAACTCCTTATTCCATAGAAGACACGAGCTTCCATAAGTTATGTGAATCCTAAAATAAACGCATGTTCTTTTAAGATAAGATTGCATGAATTTGGAATTGTGTATTTTTTCATTTTTGTCTATATTTTGTCACCATTGTGCAAGTGTTATTTAAATTCAAGTGTGTGGTTAAAATACGTATTGATTTTAGGCACCGGCAGAGAACATTAAAGATGAAGTTACTTCAGCTTCTTGTCATATACTCTTTGAATGGGCTGAAAAACTTCTTGGATTTAAGTTCACTTCTTTGAAGGAATTGGCTTCACATCTCTTAGAAAATATGTATGTTGATAACCGGTCAGTGGCTGCTTTCACCGTTCTTTTGGAAGGATCTCCTCAACTTTTAGAGAAAGGTAATTGAGCAAATTATATAGGGGTTGCCACTCCACAGGGAGAACAGGGAAAACCTGGAAAAAACAGGGAATTAAAAAATCCCCATAAAATACAAGGAATTTTGAGTTTTTCTTTAAAAGCTGGGAAATTATAAGGAATTTCCCAGGTTCTAAAGAAAACAACCAAGGTGAACTGTGGAGTGACAACCGAATTATATTAGGGTTGCCACTCCACAGGGAGAATAGGGAAAACCTGGAAAATATAGGGAATTTAAAAGTCACTTGAAATAAGAGGGAAAATGCAGGGAATTGTGAGTTTTTCTTTAGAAACTGGGAAATTATAGGGAATTTTGTTTCATATTTTCGTTATTTAAGAAATGGTTACCACTCCAAGTGCAATCTATGGGATATTTAAGGATGATATTTCAGTTATATTAAACTATTTCACTTACTATAGCATTATTTGTTTTAAGTATGTTCAGCTGTTTCTTTTTTACAGCATTTGTAACTAGTATATTTAGCCCAATACAGCTCATACAAGAGCACTTTGATTGTTTTTCCTCTTAATGTATTGTGTATAATATGTACAGGGAAAACACAGGGAATTTTTTCTTCTTACAGATTTGAGTGGCAACCTTGTATATATTTTATGCCTTTTACATTTAAAAGTACACTCATTACTGCTATTTTTTTAAATTTCAAATTTCTTTTACCCATATGTTGCTGTACCCATGTTGTTTTCTTTTTGTTACTTAATTTTAAATGATGTAGTTGAGAGTTGAAAAGTGTTTGGTTTTGTGCTTATAATGTTTACAGTAGAGATGAGAAATTAAATTTTCTGTGTTATTCTTATTACCTTGCATTAACTGTAATTTTGGTTCTTAATCACCATTAAGATAGAGGACAGCTGTATTAACCTACATAAAATTATGAGTTTTTAATTGTTTTTACATTTATATGTATATTGGTTTTATTTATAATCTATATATTCATACCTGCCAAGTCTCTTGTGTTTTTGAATGAAGACCACGGTATTTTACGATTGTCTCCTGTTTACCCTTATCTTCTCAAATTTCTCCATATTTGTTGAAGAAATTTAAATTAAAAAAATTTTGGTGATAAAATATCTGCTGATGACAAAATATACTTCTCTTATTCCACAACAGATGGTACTATTGCCAGTACTGCAGTATGTTGAGTGTTTATAGTTTAAGTAATTATAAATAATGATTTAAAAAAAATCTTTTTTAGATTAAGATTTATATACATACTGTTTACATCGCTAAATGTAAGTGCTTATATTCTTTTCAAATTTGAATTTTTCTTTTTGACTGACATGATTATTCACGATGTATCCACACTTTACTCATGGCCCAAAAAATGTCGCTAGTAAAATCTCTGTTATCTTATTTCTCCAATGTTGGCAGGTATGTATATTTATGTATTAAAATCTGCCTTTAAACTTTCATCTAGTTACATTTTGTTTTTTTAAATATATAATGTTGGACATTAAAAGCACATTTCTTAATTTTTTTTTAAAAGTAAATAAATAAAATGAAGCCATATTTCTGTTGAAATATTGCTTTGTATGATGAAAATATTGTCTGGACTGTAGATTAGCCTTTTTTTCTTCTTTTTTTTTGAAAACCAGAAAAAGCCAGGGAGTTTTATTTCCAAAATTGATTTAAAACCCTGTAATAGTCATGATGTTCTTATTCATTTGCATTAACTGTAATTTTGTTAAAATTCATTTTAGATCTGATCATTATTAGTTTTTATTCTTTAAACAATGCCTTTAGTGCAAGACTTACGACGTTGTTTGTTTATTTTAGGGTTTTCTAACTGTGAAGGAGGAATAAAGAAAAGTGAAGCTCAAGTTCATTTGCAGCGAAAAATACAAGAAAAAGAATTGATTAAGGAGCAAAAGAAGAAACTTCAAGAGCAACGCTCAAATTTTACTTCTGCGAGTAAAGGTAAAGTGTCTGTACCTAAAAAAAAGAATGCAAAATCAAGAAAATCCAAAGTTCTTTCTGAAAAATCCGACATAAGTTCTGTAAGTAATTGTCTTTAATCCTATGAAATAAGTTTTGTGAAATTCTGTAGTCATAAAGAAATGTGAGGATAATCTATCTTTGCTTTATAGTTCATGTTTACTTTATTGTTCATGTAACTGCAAGCTCATGTTTGTGAATGCATTTTATTACAAAGAATTATAAGGAGATTTTGCCTAAAATAGTTTATAGTGGATTTTACTGCACTTGAATGAAGACATTTTTTAAATTTGTTTGAGCTTTGAGATGTTTTCCATTTTTGTGTAAACTTGTATCCATTTGACGGCTTTTATTTTTATTGATTAATTTTTTTAAATGTAAATCTTGACAGAAAAATACTTTTATATTTTGTGTGTTTTTATTAATAATCAATAAAATTGACCACTTATTTAATTTTGAAAATTTAAAACTGAGAAAAATTTGAAATCAAATAATTTTTTTTTATATGGTATATAAAACTTGTTTATCATTATAGTATAGGTTAACGATTAATAATGAATGCAAATAATTATATATAGTACTGTAGTGTCACAACTAACAGAAAATATGATGTGAGCTTTAAAATTTTTTTTCCGAAACTTAACACACAAATTTTTAAAAGGGAAAAAAACAACTATCTCTTTTGAAAAAGAAAATCAGAAGAGAAAAAAACACATCATAGATCGTGCTTAACTTGATCAAGATATCTATTATAGTTCGAGACATTTTTTGAAAAAATCTGCTCTGAGCTCTGTTTTGTTAAAATATGCTCATAACGTTACAGTACATTCTTATAATTTTTTTAAAAAAACTTAGCAATGTAAAAATTTTCTTTGAAAAAAAAATTAAGTTGACTTTTTAAGTTAACAAAAAAGTTCTCCATAAATTTCCATTGGAGGTTTTATTGTGATGTTTTTCCTATAGTGGTTTATAAAATTAAAAGACCATGTTTTTAAGTAATAGGGAATTTATACTAATTAATAATGTCTATGATTATGACTATGAAATTAATGTCTAAGAAAATCTAAAAATTTCAAGTGCAATCAGCAATTTATTGAGTTTGATTTGTGTTAGTGCATTCTTATTTTTAATCCTATTTTGTTATTACTCATAATAAATGTAAAAGTATGTAAGTTACACATATAACATTGTAAACATAGATTTATATAACATCTTAGATTTCTTGCACCCTGAAGTATTATCTCCCCCTCTTTTCTTCCCCTAATATATAAGATTTGTTTCTTTTCATAAATAAAAAAAGACAAACAATAAACATATTCTATTTTAATAGGAATAATAATATTCAACCCTTTCTGTCACTTTAAAGACTTTCAACCCTTAAAAAATGTAATCAATTTTGGTATCAAGAAATACAGGATATTTTTTAACAGCCTTAGAATCACTAGAAATTTTAAATTAATTTAAACCCCTCAAAATTCTTCAATAAATTTTACTTTTCATAGTTGCAATAATGAGTATAGAAATTTGAGTTTTACTATCTTCGATTAATCAAACTGTTTTTTGATTTATAACTCTGTATTATCCTTTTTTTTTGTGTGAATATATTTTGAAATATGCTAATTAAAATTAGTGTTTAGTTCATTTCTTAACTGTAATTTAATTTATATTTTAGTAGTTTTTTTCTTTTCAACGAAATAGAACAGACGAGAAATTTTGAACTTAATTACAGTTTTTTACAAGAATTTCATTCTTGTGTTAAAATTGGGGAACTTTTTCTATTCATATTTGATGAATTTACCAGCATTGTAGTTTTATCATTTTTGAGTCTTTATAATGATTGTATTCAATGAACTATTCAGTCTTTAAGTTAAAAAGAAAAAAAATAAGGGGGAGGGATAAGAGGGACTAATTTATCTTTCTTATGTAATTATATTTAAGTTTTCTTATTTTGCTACTCATCTTTATTAGTTATTAATGATCAACTAGCTTAATCTTATAAACAATTTTGTCAAGTATACATTTCACACATTTAAGGTTTTAATTAAATATTTTTCTGAGTAGTAATGAACTTAAAGCAAAGATTTATTAAATTTTATTATTTTATTTTATTTATTTTTTTAAACTTTTATTTTGAGAAAGTGACCATTTGGTTATGTGACCTTTTCCATATCTGTTTGAATTATTTATTTGTAGTGGCAGATAAAATAATTTCAATTCTAGTTTTGTAAAATATTAATGCTTTACCTTTCCAACCACTAGGAAACTTGTTTTCCGTAATAACTGATATTCTGTAATTTTTAGAGTATATGACATTTATAAATGATTTTTATTTAAATAAAAAAAATATGGCAAACTTATATGTTTTAAATTAATTCCGAATTGTAATAATAATAAAACAAAATAAGTAAATTAATAACAAATTATAATTTTTTTTTTTTTTGCATTGCTAAATAGAGTAGTTGACCATTTTAAAAAAAATGAGCATAACGAATATATTTGAAATTATGGATATATTGTTTTTGTGGTGGCTAATTGAAGAATAGAGCTCTTTTCTAGATATGACTGTCTATCAGGATGGTCTTTTTATGTCTTGATATGTTTTTGAAAAAAAGGTTTTTACATGCTTTTAATTATGTTTTTTATATACCTATATCAAGAACTTTCAACAAAAGTGAAAAATACTTTTATCAGGGTACAGTTAAATATTTTTTTGTCTATTCTAATTAATTGCTCAACATCTTTTGAGTTTTTGTCCTCCTTACACACCCTTAAGAAACTATCACATGAATCCACAATAATAATGCAGCATTTAAAAAGATGCATGGTTAGCATATCTAGAATTTTATCTATACATTGTTTTAAATTGAATTTAATCAATGATGTATATCAAAACTATCTAAATATTTGACTTAGGTAACTATTTTCTTACTCTACAAATATTTTTTTCTCCAAACTATGCTATGTAAATTTGATATATAGTGATAAAAATTCTGCATAAATTTGTTGTGAGGTGTAATTTTTGTAAGTTTAAATTTATAAGGCTAATTCCATTTAATTTGAATAAAATATTATAATTTTATCATCATATTGAACTTTATTTTTTCCTAAATTTGTTTAATTACAGGAAAAAGAGATTGACTTAATATTATCTCAAAGTATAAAAGAAAATTCTCTTACAAGTTCTTCAGAATCATCATCCATGCAAGTGGATAAAAATTTAATAGAGAAGGTTATTAAAGAAGAGGATATGGATCTTGAATTAATTGTTGACATGGAACAAGTAGTAAATGATACACCCACCAGTTCAAACAGTAATACACAATCTTCTCCCAGTAAGCCTAGTGAACCATGCTCTGAAAATGTTTTAAAACTTGAAGATACATCAACTAAAAATACTAAAATAATAATTCCAAGAAGTAAGACTCCTGTCTGCATATCACAAAGCCTTCCTGGCATAATTATTGTGCCCTCTCTGCCACAAATTGCTGAGATCGGCAAACAAGTTTCTCCTAAGTACAAAAAAATACAGCCAAAGCCATTGAAAGGGGATGCCTTGTCTGCCATGGCTAGATCCAGAGCTGGTTCTTTAGGCTCAACTTCTATTAATAAGCCTAAATCTAAAACCAATGATGGTCGGCATAGCTCACATGCATGGCTTCAATCCTCTTCGAGTCCAGAAGGTAATGACTTTTTTGTTAAAAGCAACACTTCAAACACTAGAACTGTTTTGCTATCCTCCACTCAGAAAACATTAAAGAAAAATTGTTTTATAGTACCGAAAGAAAAGACCTCTGACAAACTTAAAGAAGATTTACGTTTTTCATTAGAAAACCAGAGTTCTAGTGCTTTCAAGGATGTTAAACTTCAAGCAAATTCTGATCCAAACCAAGTGTCGATTGAAAGTTCAGGTGGTTCCATCTTAAAATCTAATCCCTTAAGGAAATCAAGTCTTCCCTCTAAAGAAAGTAACGCTCTCAAAAGACCTTTAGATGAAAGTAGAAGTAATCTTAAATCAAAGAAGCTGTTATTGGATGCAAATGCGATGGAATCTTCTTATCAAGACTTGCCATCGTCAGTTAAAGTTCAAAATGTTCCTAGTCGAAGATTGTCTGTTCAGCAAAATGCTGCAGCTGAAGAAGTGAGCATACATGAGATAGAAGGTGATGCCTTAAACGATTACTACAGAGGAAATAATTGCCAAACATTGCTCCCTTCATCTATGTTAGTAGTTGAAGACAAAGACTCGAAAAAGGAAAAACAGGATTTTAACAAAAATATATCTCAATTGCGTATGTTACTTGAGCAAAAAATATCGTGTAGTCAATCAAATCCTTTATTATTGAATTCTTTGAAAGATATTTCCAAAAGTGATCTTTCTCTTCATTTAAATCAAAAAGAAACTTTGTTTTATTCAAGTGATGTTAATTTAGGAGAGGGAAAATTAACAACAGAACAGGAACAATCTGATAAAGTTAATTTAAATTTGTGTTCCCTTTCCTTTGAAGAGGAGAAACAAATCAAAAATATATCCCAACTTGAAACTATTGAGAAATTTCTAGATTCCCATTTGGCGTCACAAGACCAGGTGAATGAGCCAAATGCATACATTTCTGATGCCAACATTTATTTGACAAATCCTAAAACCAATTTCCAACAAATTGATATGGACTTGCCAGACTTTCAACAAAATCTAATAAATTCAAACAGTGATTTGTTGACTTCAGACTTGATGGATAATCTAGAATATGGTACACCTCAGATAAACAATACTGCTCTTCCTGTCCGTGTTAACACTTACACTCAAGTACCCTCTGTTCCCCAAAGTCCCAATACTAGAAGACGGGCTTTCAATTTTATGCCTATATCTCCCAGCCATACCCCAATACCTGATATGAGTGGAAGTGTGTCATCGCCAATACCTAATCAGTTTCCAAGAAATATGATGTCGATTGGTGTTGGTCCTTCTCAACCACCTAGTAATGCTGGTAGTCCTTTTGTTTCACCTAGATCGACACCAGTATCCACCTGTAGGTCTAGGCACAGCTCTGGACAAAGTACCTCTCGACACACCCCTTTCCAAAACTTTGATTCTGGTGTTTCTTCAGTTTCTTCTTCGCCTTTTATTTCGCCACAGCCAACACCTGTAAGTCGTTTGAGACATAATTCTAGCCATAGTTCTAACAAAACTGTTACATTTTGTTCAGTAAATAGCCCACATATAATAAACTCATTATCAACTTCTAGCCGTTCTAGGCATAATTCTGGCCCTGGTGTTCAACATTTATCAGGAAACTTAAATGCTAGGACTAATCCCTTGTCACCTTTAGTTGCTGAACCTCAGCCTAGTTTTATATTCCCGCCAGGGAATGAATTGAGATATCGACATAACTCAGACTCGAATACCACTTCCTTATCTCCAGTTTCCGAACAGACTTCATCTTCGAGTAGTTGCACAAGCAATCTCCCAGATCTTACCAGTGTTAATGATTTGGCTCTGTCTCAATCATTTTTAAATGATAGCGCCGCTGACTTACTTATCAGCGGCAACTCTTCCAACTTTAAGCAAGTTCGTCAGAGACACGCCTCCAGTTCTGTCATATATAGCAAATCGTATGTGGCTGCTAAAGATCCTTTCTCCCCAGAAATTCAAAACTTATTAAAAAATGAACAAATTAGCGGAGCCACTAACAATCAGCTTAGCAATCGGAGCCAATCTGTACCGTTACATCAAATGCTCCAAAATTTGAACAATTTTTATTTCCTGAATGCTCCAATCGATGAAGTTTCTACTAAATCCCATCCTACGACGCCTGTTCTGAATCAGGCATTCTCGTTTCCTCTCTTGAATTCGAATCAAGAGAACGCTTTACTATCTGCTGAACTCCTGAATAGTGACAAGTCATTCTCCCAGAACTGGTCTGGTTTGGAAAATACTGGAGATTTGGAAGTGAGTAATGCTCGACGCAACCTAGCCGGTTTGCTCGACCCACCACTTAGTGATGATTTACAGACAACACTGGAAGATCTGAGAGATTGTGATAACGACTTTTCGAAATTTGCGCAAGAGCTGGAGCTGAATCCAAACGAGGATGGCAATCTGTAATGCACTTTCGAGTTTAATAATAATAATAATAATGGCCTTTATGTAAAATTAGATTTATTTTCATGTATATGCTTGTAGATTTATACATTTGTTTTTCCTATTGTTGAATGTTATTCCTTTGTACAGTTAAATGCTCTAATTTTGTATTTTAGTGATGGGGCAAACTAAGTACTTCGTTTAGCCCATATCCATGAATATATTTTTAAAATTGAAATTATTTACTCTCTAATTAAATGAGGATGATTTCAAATTTCGTTAATATTCTAGTAGGTTTATGTTGTATGCATTTGAGGTATTCAGTATTAAAACCTGCGTAATCTATACTAAAGAGAGTTCGGAGAAAATTAATTTTGAACTTTAACCCATAAATTCAAGGAGTTAATAATGTTTTCTCTTAATCAAAAAAGCAAAGTTATTCAATTGTGGAATCTGGTAGGCAAATTCATATCCACAAAAAGAAAGGTAGTAAAATTGAATTTCAAGTCTCGTTATTTACGAACGCAGACTAAAGTTCTGCGGCAAACTTTTTGCTGGTATTTGTTGAAAATAGACACAACACTTTCGGTTGTCAAATTATTACATTTTTTTTAAATGAGAGATAGTTTGGTTTTAATAACACTATTGTTCAATGAAATCTTGTTTTTTCGAATTTATTGATGAAAATGGATTTAATAAATGGGAATTTCCTTCCACTTCTTGAGGAAATTTCCGACTTTCTAAACTTTAGAATAAATTAAATTTTTAAACTTAATTATTCTATTGTGATTTTTAACTGTGATTTTTATATAAAGCTCTACAATTTGTTGAACTGTTAATGTACAGCACATTGTAAAAAAAAACTTTCCATAACTTAATTAATAACTTAAATGTTCGAAATAGTTTTGCACTCTTTATTTATTTATTTTTTTCATGATTTGAATTGATAGGCAGTTTCAGGTCTTTTGTTTTTTCCCCACTCTTGATGCATGATTAAAAAAGGATGCTTGTTCTGTAAGATTAATTATCCAAAGAGCATCTGAAGTCCTATTATATATTTTTTTTTACTAAACTAAAATTTATTGTGTCATAAATTGTTACCTCAGCATATGCTGATAAGTTATACAAAATTCAAAAAAAGCTACCTTATATTTCTTGCACAAAATGTGTTTTCTATAATTTAACAACAACCTTAAAGTTGATAAAAATTAGCATTGAGAGAAGATTAAAAAAAACTTTATAGAATCTTATTTTTTTCTTTTGTAATCTTAGTATAGCATTTTATGGTTTTGATACTCAATACCTCACATGTTATGGAACTCTGCATGCATTAAATGCAAAAAGTCATGTTGAGAAAGTTCTTTTTTCTTTCAGAAAATGAAGTTTGAGATTTCGCTTGCATAATTATATACTTTTTCTTTTTAATTTTCTTCAATAAAAAGATAAAAGTTAAAGCAAAATGAGTAATGGCAACATGAAATTTTTATATTTAATTTAATAAATCTACGTATTTTACGTTTGCTTCTTTTAAACAACTCAATATAAATAAGTGTTTTAAGATTTATCTATTGTACTTTTTAAACTTTATTCTATTGCTTTCATGACTTTATTTAAAATGTTCTATTGTTTCAGTATAAAATTAATTTTTGAAATATAGTTTAAAAAATGCATTTTATTGTCTAATAAGTCGATTAAATTTTAGATTTTTTTTTTCATTTCAAAAATTGTACAGACTTTTAAATATGTTGCTGATTAATTTTTATTCCTTACTTTATAAACATGTAATATGTATTTTTATCATAAACGCACAAACATAAAGATTTGTATGGTATTTCAAAGAAGTCTGCATAACAGTCTTTTTAAGATGGCTTTTTGCATACTTTTTTTAATAAAATGTGCCAATCTTTTAGGTACTATTAAATAAATTAAAAATATTAATTGCATAATGTAAAGACATTAAAATGTTTTTATTTTTTCCCTTAAATTTAAGTTGATTTTCTTTAACATTTCTGTTAAAAGAAATCAGAAATAATATTAAATTTTAAAAACAAAATAGCACAAAATTTTTTGATGGTAACAGTAAAAAAATGCATATTTTTAAATATTAAAGTAAGAGTAATTGAATTGTTTTTATTTTGGTTGTATCAATTGAAAGTTCAATTTTCTCTTTTGCTCATTTTACAGAGGGTTATTCAAGTTTAATTGCTTTTAATGAAATATTTTAATTTTGTATTATATTTTACTTTTATTAATAGAATTTAATAGCGGATCAATATTTTTTTAAATTTTACTTCTCTTATGTCAGGTGATTGCTTAAGTTCATGCTTGATTTGGAACCTAATGAAATAAAACACATTTTGTTTAAAGAAAAAAAGTATTTATTTATATATAATGTATTGGTCATCATTTCTTTATAATTGTTTTCGAATGTTTAACATGTTTTTAAAATTTTCTTTGTATAGATTTTGCGGTTTTTCTTTAACCCACTGACAGTTCTGCTTTTAAAAAGTCGTATTTTATCCTGCAGTCTTCTCCGCAGAGCAAAACCGGTTTTCCCGTGGTGTATTGGGGAGAAACATTTTCCCAATTTCGCCAGTGGGTTAAATTAAGCCGCTATAACATCTTCAATATTTCTAATGTTTTTCTTCCCATTCAATTTATTTTACCAAAAAACCCTGTTAAGTTGACCACTCTCTATAAGTTGATCATTTGTCTGGGTTGATCTTAATGATCAAGTACCAAACTAGCAAAAATAGTTATGAGTTGACCACTTGTCTAAGTAGACCATCAAATTGTTATCCTACAAGTGGTGAATTTACACGGGTATATGAAAATCTGAATTGACCAAGTCAGATGAATGCAAAAACAAATTTGCAGTATCTGTTGAACAGCATGTGGTGTTAGAAAATGCCTTTTAGATTGAGCAAATTTGAAGTTTTACTTGAATTTCAACACAAATTTAAGTTAGCTACTTACAGCACTTTTCCACTATTTTTTGCTAATCACATTCCTCTGTAATATCGGTATACATGGTGACAATCTTTTTAATGCTGTTAAGATTGGGTATCAACTTTTGCAATCACCTGATGTATGTATATGATGGTTAAAATTACAATGATGGTACTGGTAATGCCAGTTCTATTGAACAGATTGAAAACGAAAACTTCCAATATAGTATACTCTCGATATCTCGAAAACCTTGTTACGTCAAAAAAATCTTTTTCCCCATAGCATTATACATCCACCTAATGTTAATTTGAATTCCTATGTCGAAAAGTTTCTCCTCAAAACTTTGTTATATCAATTTTATTTTGAAACAGAAAATGAATTTTTTCGGTAAAATCATAATCTGAGTTTATTGTACACCAATTCTTTTCTATTTAATGCATAATTATTTTTGTCTTTCTTTTAAAAAATAAAATTATCACGTATTTAGACTTATAAACAGCTATGGTTTTATACATATTTATTATTAATTTTTCTTATGTTTCATAACACTTCTTTTTAGAGTAATATTCTAGAATATATTTTTCTACTTTTTAGAACATATTTAGTTCTGAACTTGTTATCTCATAAATTTTCTAGCTTTTCTTCAATTTAGTGATATCGAGAGTATACTGTACATGCTATGTGAATTATGTGGGAAAAGTTTCTATTGGAAAAAAATATAGTTCCAAACTTTCCTGGCAAGTGACACTTCATCAAAGTAAAAAAAAGTAACAGTTTATAAATTCAAGAATAACAATATTTTATTTATGTATATGTTTGTGTGCTCTATATGCATGATTTCTAGACCAATAATATACATATGGTTGCATATATGCATTATTTCCATATAGTTTTAGTTGTACAGCATCATCCATTGGCAAAATTTTTAATCATATGTTTTTCTCTGAGAAAAAGCTTAACCATATGATCCATGTGTAATTTATTTGAAGTTTGATTCCAATTTGTTTAGTAGAACTGGAGCTTCGAGCCACCAAGCGCCCTCAAATTAATTTTATCAACTTTTTATTTTAGAATGATGAAGTAAATTTGGGTTTTAAATATATAAAAAGATAATGTAAATTTGGATCTTAGGTAGAATTTATGTTTTAATTTGGGGTCCATTCTTTTTATGATGCACTGAAATGTTAAAAACAAAACTCATATGGTACATTAAAATTACGACTTTTCTTTTGTATTTAATCTTCTGTGTTATTCTGGTTTTAGCTTTATGTATAATTGAAAATATTAATATTCCAGTCTTTGAAAATGAGGACTTGGTACAAAATATGATCTCATGTGTCTTTTTTGTTGAATTGTGTGAATGTCTTAATATTTTTGTTATTTCATAGATACAAATTTTAACCAATGTATCTAAATTCTTTAATCATTTATAGATACCTAACAATCTGAGTACATCTATCAATTATTTGATGTAATTGTTTAGTTTATTATGAATTCAAATTATTTTGTATAGGTTATGATATATCATCCTTTAAATTAATATTTAAAAAAACAAACAACCCATATTGATTTTATACGACGTTTTTACTGTAGATTTTTTCAGTTAATAAGTTCGTTTTTTTTCTGGTACATTTAGCCAAAATATTAATGTCCTATCATTCATTTTCCTCTTACTTTCATGCATTATTCAAGTTAGGCTTTTGTAAAAGTGGTCATAAAAGATTTTTTTAAATAATTAATAAGTTAATATTTTGATGACTATAGTATATTAGCTTAAACTAAAAAATATATTTTTTTAGTTTAAGCTAATATACTATTGTCATCTGTTTGTTTTGATTTGATATACTATAGTCATCTGTTGTTTTGATAGATTTAAAATCAAATTCAGTTTTTTAATTTCAGCAATTTTATAAATTTGTTGTGCTTGTGAAATTTAAGGTTTTATTTAGAATTTTTATTTTAACTTACATAATTGTTATATTATAGCATAGTAATCAGAAATATTGTATGATGTACTACTAATTGTATGTTTTTCTTAAATATAAACTCTAATTTATGATTATATATTTCTGAAGACATGTTATGAATTTTAAATTTTTTTAATCTATTCAAACTTATTAACATATTTTTTCTTATTTCACCGACTTTTTTCTAACAAATGGTTTAAATTTTTATACAAATTAATTGCAATATTTGTTTTGAACATTTTTTAGCTGATCACTGATACAGCTATAAAATCTCTAGTCATCCAAAATTTTTATTTTAGACAAAAACGAAATTGAACAACTAAATTAACAATTTAATTTAGAAAATTAATTATAATTATTTTCTTAACATTTTATGTATATTTTTTTAGAGCTATGGTTCCAGAAAGATTAGGAGAGATCTAAGACTTAGAATTTTCTATTAACCATATTTATAATTTTTAGAAACTTAAATTATATTTATATCTAATCAATAATCTAT